GGGGGGGGGGGCAGAGGATCTGAAACTGGTTCTGCGTTGACAGTAGCCAGCCTGATGCAGGGCTCCAGCTCGCCAACAGGGAGATCATGACCTGATCCCAAGAGTGTCTCTGAACTGACTCAGCCACCCAGGCACCCCTATTTGTATTGTTTTTAAATTCAAGTTAGTTAACATATAGTGTCATATTGCTTTCAGGAGTAGAACCCAGTGATTCATCACGTACATAGGACACCTAGTGCTCATCCTGACAAATGACCTCCTTGATGCCTATCTCCCTTTTAACTCTCCTTGATGCCTATCACCCTCAGGAGGGGAGGTGGGTGCAACCTCCAGCAACCCTCAGTTTGTTCTCTGTATTTAAGAGTCTCTTATGGTTTGCCTCCCTCCGTTTTTATCTTATTTTTCCTTCCCTTCCCCTATGTTCATCTGTTGTGTTTCTGAAATTCCATATATGAGTAAAATCATATGATACTTGTCTTTCTCTGACTTATTTCACTTAGGGCTACACTCTAGTTCCATCCATGTTGTTGCAAATGGCAAGATTTCCTTTTTTTGAGTACCAAGTAATATTCCCATAGTCATCTTAGATTTTTTGATCACTGCTTTGTGTGCCTCCTTGGCTCTCATTCCTCCATAATCTGTTGCAAACACCCATTACTTATATTGATTTCAGGATCCTGGTTCTAAGAACAAATTATTTACTTCACATTGAAAGAGGGTTTTTTTTGTTGTTGTTGTTTAATGTTTATTTTTGAGAGAGACAGAGACAGAATGCAAGTGGGTTAGGGGCAGAGAGAGAAGGAGACACAGAATCTGAAACAGGCTGAGCTGTCAGCACGGAGCCCGTCGTGGGGCTCGAACTCACAAGCTGTGAGATCATGTCCTGAGCCGAAGTCAGACGCTTAACCGACTGAGCCACCCAGGGGAGCCTGAAAGAGGGTTTTAAAAAAAATATATTAAAATGGTAGCAAAGAGCTGATGTGGGGCTTGGTGTCACAAATTGTGAGATCATGACCTGAGCGGAAATCAACAGTCAGATTCTTAAGTGACTGGGCTACCCAGGCGCCCAGATTTTTTTCTCCTCTAATGTTTCCTAGCTGATGGAAGCTTCATGGCTACTGTCTTTTCAAATTATGTTTGGTTGGTGCTTAGTAAATGTTGATTAGTATTGAGATATATAAGTCACCAAAGCAAACAGTTGTGAAATCAGTTATGTGGATTTCGATGATTAATCAGCATTTAGTTGGACCTTAAAAGAAAACTTTTATTTATTTATTTATTTATTTATT